TACCGTTAAGTTGGTTCCGTAAGGGTTTAAACGTTACCCCTACCCCGTAAACCGGTAAACCCGTTTTACCCGTAAACGTTTTCCCGTTAACCGGGGACAATCTTCCTTGCGTACCAACCGACACCCGCGTCATCGCTTGTCGTCTTCATGTTTGTATCACACACTTCATTTGTACGTGCATCTTCCTTGCGTACCATTTCACCCGTGTCATCATCTGTTGTCTTCATGTCAGTATCACACACTTCATTCGTACGTGCATCTTCCTTGCGTACCATTTCACCCGTGTCATCATCTGTTGTCTTCATGTCAGTATCACACACTTTATTCATACGTGCATCTTCCTTGCGTACCATTTCACCTGTGTTATCACCTGTGTCATCACCTGTTGTTTTCATGTCAGTATTACACACTTCACTCGAACGTGGAGCCTTCACAGGTGTTGTCGCAATCGAAGTGGGTACATTGGAGGGGAGCTGCGTCCCCTCCCACAAATCATCAGTCAAGGGCGTAACTAACGTTGGCACAGTCTCACTGGGATTTGCGACAGAGGTGTCTGCGTGAATATTAAGGGGCTGGCTGCACAAATCAACAGCAGTCAAATAGTTCACATCAAACCAAACAGGGCTCGAAGTGTACAGACTATCGGCCCCTTCCAACAGCGGTGCAGATAGAATTCCGGGTGTCGCCTGTGCGTACGCTGTGTTTTGCGCGCATGGATCGGTGTTCATGGCAGCCACTTCAGTGCACGGTACATCATCGATGGTGGCGGTACTGTTCTGTACACGGGCGCTGTTTTGCACAGGGGCATTATTCTGTACAGCGGCGCTGTTCTGCACAGGGGCGCTGTTTTGCACAGGGACTTTAGCGGATTCTGTTGCACTGCACGGCGCAGATATGTCGGGAAGCAGACTAGATAGGGACGATGAAGTAGCGATGGAATGTAATATTTGGTCCAAAGTAAGCAGACTAGATAGGGATGATGAAGTAGCGATGTAATGTAATATTTGGTCCAAAGTCGTTTCCAGTGGTGTGACAGGCCTCTCTTCTGTCGTCACATTTTCGCCTGACTGTATACCCTCAATCGCCCCGACAGCCTCCTCCGTGCTTCCATGTTGCCGCTTATTCTTACCCATAAACGGTGTAGCTCCCTCTGTATCTGGGATCCCATCTTCAATAGCACGCGGAGAGGATATCAAATCCGCAACACACACCGACCTGGATGACCCCGAGCTACACGACGACGTGTCTATCGTCTGCAGGTCTTTGATCTGTTTGCACAAGGCCTTTTCTGGGCCACCTTCACCAGTCTGTCCCGCGCACCACGTGCGTGATGGACTCCGGGTCATGCGCTGCACCACTGTACTACTTTTGGGGCTGAGGAGGGGTGGCAGTTGCTCAGTTTCTGACCTGGATGGCGTGTGTGGCGATCTTGGCACGAGTGTCTCATGTAGTGCTTTGTATGTCGTTGGCTCATCAAGTGTTTCAGGTGTATCTCCCGTATGTGTTTCTTGAGAGGTTGTTTGCACCCCAACCACCGGCGAGTGTGTTTCCGGTAGAGTTGGGGTTGTCTCGACTGGCGGGTCTGTCCCAAGCGGCTGTGTGTATAGCTCAGACTCCGCTGTGCGTGACTGTACTCCCGTCTGCCCCTGTCCGTTACCATCCTCCATGTTCTTCTCTCTACACGCAACGGCCGTGTGGGATTCGTTCGAATCTGTGCACACCGCTGTGCCTGGCGATGGGTCATGGCTTGCACACTCGGAACATGTGCAGCTAGTGCATGAGCGGGCGCACGTACACGACTCAGTGCACCGAGAACTGCACGAGTGCGATGACGAAGGATCATCGGATGTGCTCAGGCCGCTTATTGGGGAGAGACTGAGAGAGTCTATTGCCTCGCCTGACACATTCTCTGCCGGGTCGCATTGCCTAGTATTTGGGGACGTGGAGTTGTATGTGTCTGTGGAGATGAACCATGAGTGAGGTTAAGAGTCGCTTTGAAAGTACTAGTTACTTGCACATTCCTGCCCTGGGTGCTCGCTTCCACGGGCCATACACACGGTATATCCAAGAAAGAATTCTGCATGTAGAAGTAGTATACGCCCAAGTTGGGACTGGGATCGCGGAGACTAGACATGTTGAACGCCCATTGGACGCACCGAGAGCAATGTTTTTATACTACATTACACATACGACAAACCCCACAGTTTGCCTATGAATGTACGACATACGTATACTAATAATACATATATACATACATGATAATATAAAACGTACCTGGCATCTCTCCTGCAGGGGTGTCCGTGATAAGCGACTGTATGGGTAGTAACTGATCAAACTCGATGGCCATATCCGATGTGTCTGTTTTTTCAGATGTCTCTGTCTTCTCAGATGTGGCGGATTTATCAGAGGTGTCGGATTTGTCCAAAGAATCTAGGTTACTATCTTTGACCTTCCCCACAGAGTGCTCCCATGTGCACAGACGTTTTGCTTTGCGCACAGATTCCTTCCGAAAGACTGCCCTTCCCTGTGTGGCCGAGTGGGCACTGATACATTTTCTGTGCAGGCTACGTGGCGCGTCGTTGCTATCCACGTCGCCACCATAAAGCCTAGGCAACCACCCCTCGCTACTGTAACTGGATTCATCAGTATCTGTAAGGTCACTGGGATCGCTCAAGGCATTCTCTGGTCCGGAGTCATACTCATTCAAGTCCCGCTTTATGGTGCTGGCTTTACGTTTCTTTCGTCGACTACCAATCCACCTTGATATTAGTCTCTTTTCTGACTTCCCACTCTTGCGTATGGAATGCACAGTTTCCCCGCCCTCCTTACTGGCGTCTACAGTTCGACCTGCACCTGTCGCACGGGGCTCTCGGGTCGTATCGCGGCTCATTCCAGGACTTTCTGCACGATTTGTCTGTATGCTTGAATACATATCTGCATTCACTCCAGTACCTTTTGTGCGGAGTGTCTGTGTGTTTAACTGTCGATCGGCTGCACCGGTGCATTGGCTCGCAAGCTCCTCCACTCTATCTGGCAGTAGAAAGTTGTCTCGGTGTGCGTAGCCGTGTCTCTGGCGTCGGGGGATCACGTGCTGGTTCTTTATCAGCGGCGCCGAGAAGAACCCATCCTTGCCTTGCGTATGCTCAAAGTGCACGCCATGGGTCAAGTACGGCGCACCCGGATGACACCCGTCACACTCATCTGCACTTTCACCTTGTACGCGCTCTTGTATCGACCAATATACTTCACTCGTGGCAGGTAGTGTGCGTCTCAGTCCCCGCACCCTGCTTGGCAGGAGTGTATAATCCGGCACGCCAAGGTCTCCAAAGGGCTCGCGTCTCGGATAGGCGCTCGGGTGAAAGACCCATTTGGGCCGGAATGTCCAGTTCTCTTCAGGCGAATCCTTATACACCCTCTCCGGCAGCCACACCAGCCACCGACCCGCGTGCGATTCGACCTTGTCGTAAATCGATGGCGCGTGTGTTAGATAAGTCTCGTCCCCGTCCCCGTCCCCAGGTAGGTATGTGGGCTCAGCAAGGACCTTTTGCACCCAGGGAACCGCCAACAGATCGATCTTGGACGCCCCCTGATGCTCCACGTGCACTCGCTTTGCAATTGAATTTGCAGCGGTTGCTTTGTCGCGTGGTGTGCTGCGATTGGTCTGTGCGGATTGCTGATTGCGCTCGCCGTTGTCTGGGAGACCTACAGGCAAACCCTTTTTCTCATCCTTCGGCACAACTCTCTGGGGATCCTTGCGCGTAGGGCTACCCATGTATGTGGCCGGCTTCTCTATACGCTTACCCATCCCGGTCACTTGCTTCCCATCTGCACCGACATGCCCACCCTCGACAAAGGGCCTCTTCAGGGCCACACCAAATCCGATCACGCGTTTGGTATTCCCGGCTACATTCCTAGCAGGTGCAACAGACACCTGAGGTAACACACCGGCCCCAACCGCACAGCTAGCTATTGTACTACCGTAATCTCTAATGCGAGACGCAGAGCTCGATCTTGTCTTGTCCTCGCCTGTCAGGTCAATTGTGATCGTCCTCGCCACAGCACGCTCTGCTTTTGTTTTTGTGTGGCCAGCCCTCTTACACAGCGTAGGTCCACCTACATGCGGCCCTTTCTCCCCATCCTCTTCCAGGGCATCCACATCTATAGCCTCCGTCGGTACTGCAACGCGTTCTGCTACTCGCGTCTGTCGGTCGTATGCCTCGTTTACATCTCCAGGCTGCTTGCCTTCAATGGCTGTGCGTGTTGGCTTTGTTGGGGGTGGCAGAGAAGTACTCATGATGGGAGCATTCGTTGTGGTGTTCACTGCTGCCGTGGATCCGGTTAATGGCTTCAGTGGTGTTTGGTAGTGTGTGTCGGTAGTCTCTCTCTGCTTGTCCGTGCCTGTGACCTTGACGTATCGCTTCTTCAACGGCTGTGACAAGGTGGGAATCAGTTCTGTAGCCTGCTGGCGCTGGGTACTTACATGCGATGGCATCACCTTCTGTATTGTAGCCTGCTGGCTCAGAGTACTTAAATACGATGGCGTCTTCTTATGTATTGTACCATACCGACTCTCAGTACTCAAATGCGATGGCGTCTTCTTCTGTATTGTAGCCTGCTGGTTCAGGGTACTTAAATGCGATGGCGTCTTCTTCCGTATTTTCTCAGTAGATGACTTCTCCATCTGTATTGTAGCATGTTGACTCCGAGTACTCAAATGCGATGTCGTCTTCTTCCGTATTTTCTCAGTAGATGACCTATCCATCTGTATTGTAGCATGCTGACTCTCAGTACTCAAATGCGATGGCGTCTTCTTCTGTATTGTAGCCTGCTGGCTCAGGGTACTTAAATGCGATGGCGTCTTCTTCCGTATTTTCTCAGTAGATGACTTCTTCATCTGTATTGTAGCATGCTGACTCCCAGTACTCAAATGCGATGGCGTCTTCTTCCGTATTTTCTCAGTAGATGACTTCTCCATCTGTATTGTAGCATGCTGACTCCCAGTACTCAAATGCGATGGCGTTTTCTTCTGTATTGCAGCCTGATGGCTCAGAGTATTTAAATGCGTTGGCGTCTTCTTCTGTATTGTACCATACCGACTCTCAGTACTCAAATGCGATGGCGTCTTCTTCTGTATTGTAGCCTGCTGGCTCAGGGCACTTAAATGCGATGGCGTCTTCTTCTGTATTAGACCATGCTGACTCTCAGTACTCAAATGCGATGGCGTCGTCTTCTTTATTGTACCATGCTGACTCTCAGTACTAAAATGCGATGCTGTCGTCTTCTTTATTGTACCATGCTGACTCTCAGTACTAAAATGCGATGCTGTCGTCTTCTGTATTCCATCAGCACTAAAATGCGATGGCGTCTTCTTTTGTATTGTAGCAAGCAGACTCTTAGTACGCAAATACGATGGCGTCTTCTTCTGTATTCGCTCAGTACTCAAATGCGATGGCATTTTTTTCTGTAACGGAAAGGGCTTCTCCAACACCCCCGGGCGAAGTCTAGCGATGCGATCCGTTGAACTCATGCCCACTCGGCTGTGAGAAGGGGTCGTGCCAAACCCGGCTGATTTCTCGCTGGCCATCTATGTAGTATGATGTGTATGTGTTCTGCTTTAGCGGTCCTGACGCTGGGTGCTGGTGGAAGAGGATGGTGACAGAAAGATATGTTTGCATCAACAGTGTTTGAGGAATGATACGAAACTCTCACGCACAATAACATACCGCTTAGCGTTCGACAGCACTAGGGTAAGTAGACCAGCACTACTACTACTAATGCGAGATCTTTACTTTAAGTCACACTTCACACTGCATACTTTTGAGTCTTCGATACCATAGTCACAGTCTTATACGTAACCACACTGTGCACTCATGACATACCTTCAAGTCCCCGATGTAAAAGCCACAGTTCTTGTATGAAGCCCCACTCCGCACTCGCAGTTGGACTGTCGACCCACAATTGTGACCGGAAAGGACAGACGACAATTTAGGCTAACATCACCCTATCGAATCGGAATGGCAGCCAAATCACGAATTAATAATGTATGTTTGTTCTCCAAAGGCACAAGCAACACTCCAGTTTTAAGCAGCACTACTTGCGTGAAATTGTAGAGAGGTCTCACTTGCGTATCTGAGAAGAATAAGCAATACGCCTGTTAAAAAGTAGCAGTTCACTCTGGTAGCCAGGATAGGTTAGAACTTTTATCTGATATGCATAAACAACACTCCTCTCGACGCCACACTTCACTGTAGTAGTTGTTTTATCGAAACCGGCTACTCGTATAAATAACGTACCAGCCTTATTCTTATTTGAAGCCAACCGGCTATTCACACTCGACCTTCTCACAACACACTCGTATGTGTTTGCGAATAGAGCACCACCCCCATTTCCATACTACACTTCTGTGATTTTATGCAATTTGGGATTTACGAAATGCACTGATCTGTCTCTAGCATTTTAACACGTACATGCAAAGCCTCATTCACACCAAGCTGCTCTCACAACAAGTTATTGTAGTCATACTCGTAAGTGTACTGCCAGCTCACACTAGGTTCTAGAGTCTTTAGGCAAGTTTCGCAACTGAGCCACATACCCAAATTTCCATATACACCAACACTACATGCTTTTGTTGCTGGAACCCAAAGTAACACTCGCAACTGAAGAATACCGACAATTTTGATTACACCAACACACCACAAACAGGAATTAGAAGTCACTTGCATGCACAGCACTCCGAACTGAAGTCATACCAAGCACATCTGACTACACTAACACTCCGCATTTGTGTATCAGAGCGCTTTTGATTGCACAACACTCCCTACTGGAGTCATACCATACACGCTTATTTGCACTAAAACTCCATATTCACACACTTGATTGCACTAATACTCAGCATATGTCAATTCGAAGCGAAAAGAACACCGCTGGATGAAGCTCTAGTGTATATTCATAACCACTATGGAAAATCGCCAATGTCGTAATTATACATAGGCAACGCTCATGCCTAATCGCACTAGCAATATCTTTTATGACTGACATGGATGAGGAACCCTCCAGAATGAACCAATATATGAAAATACTAAAGGAGATGTCGCTCGACTTTGGTCTTTGGATTCCGTAAGCAATACTCTCGCCTAAAGCTATACCGTACACACAGTCTGCAGCACTGACACACCTCGCTAGCCGTCAATAACGCGAAGAGCCTTCGAATGAAATGAGAGGTTGGAAATGTTCTGTTCGGACTTACCGCATTTATCGCTACGACTCCCGAGTAATACTCGCGACTACAAACATACTTGCCACACTTAGGTGCAAGAAAACACTATATGTGTGTACACACGTGAGAAGAGTGTGCAACATTCTTAAGTGCAGATTGGGTTTACAGCCGATTTTAGACGCTCGCTTATTCACACTCGGGAATGCACTGATACATACCTCAGTGATCACCAAGGATGGTATTCAGTATCGTGGCCTGTCAATACTTTCCGGAATGCTAGCGGCCAAGCGTATAATGACCCAGACGCCCAACATGTATATAAATCAACATACAGGCCGTAACACGCGCACTGTATGCGATACATGTACACACACTAGATATGTATATATGCGGATATGTATAAATATACATATCACATATGATAATATATATATATATATATATATATATATATATATATATATATATATATATATATATATATATATATATAATATAA